TCTGATAACTAAATAAAAAAATTTAACATTAACAAACTAAATTAAATAAATAATATTTATTAAAAAAACAAAAACAGAAAAAAGCCATGAAAGCATAATAAAACAGGGAAAAAAAACGAAAAAAATAAAAACAAAAAAAAGAGCAGTATATACTATACTTATAATATAATATAATATAATAGTAATAATAACAATTATTATTATTATTATATAGAAGTGGCGTGGGGAAAGCTACAGTACTTTCCCCACGCCTTTTAGTATATTGTTAAATGTTCAAGTTGCTTCATAGATCAGCTAACTAATTAATTCTTCTATATACTGAAATTAAATGATTGTTCTCCGATATATTGTTGGTGTAACTGTTTGAATTCGCTTTATAATTAATTATAACCTGATGCATAAATATGTATATGATCACGATCGATGACAAGCTCTTAATTCCAACATCACTAAAATGATGAAGATAAAAAAAAAAAAAATGATTAAGAATTTCTTAAAATTTTTGGGATCAAATTGATAAAGTTTATAGGCTTTGGACTTAATTGATAAGGAGATTATAAGTTTGGGACTAAATCGAGATTCCCAACAAAGAAGACTCTCTCAATTTCAGACATCCCTTTCCCGCCAGACCTTCTCAGCAACAACGACAAGTTTCTTCTGTCTCTCTGTGTGTGAGTCTCTCTCTTGCATCCTATATCGACATCGAACTTTCTGTAACAACCCAAAAAAACCCTAAACGTCAAAATCGAAGTTTTTCTGGAAGAGTGGGTGATGGATTGCATCCTATGAAAACCTTTGTAAGAGAATTCCACAAGGTGTGTTTCCATGGAGTTAGATATAACCGATTGAATGCGATGGATTGGCTTCCCAGTCAGTGGAAGATGAAGAATATTTCATCCATCCACTCAATCCCAGTATGTTTCTTGTCACCATTTACAAGCCCAGTGACCGCTTCTGGGAAAAGAAAAGCTGTACTGCTGTCTGCACTCCACTGTTGCTTAATTGATCCTGAGAACCATCGAGTAGGTCTCGCTGTGAAGGGGAAGGTAACAAATATAACTTCACCCATTTCCACTTGGATTTTGAAGATGTTGATTGTTAGTTCTCAATTGTCTACTTTTACTGCTAAGTTGTGTTAGAATCCAAAACTTTTAAGTTCGTTGCATCTCAAAGAATCAAACAGAGCAAGGCCCCTGCTTGCTTCTGGAGCAGGCTTTGCATGGTGCCTCCTGGAGTGCGTCAGCTGACAAAGTTTACAGACTTCAAAGACTGGTATTCCTAGCAGGGGACCTCCAAATTCGGTACTAAGTTATCATTTTGTAGCTTTGACGTGAGAATTTTAAGATATGATAAATTAGATGCCAGCTCTGACATTGAAATGACCGAGCTGTATGAAAAAACAAAGGCAAACTCCTTTCATGTAATTCCACTACTTCCAACTTACGAAGTGATGGATGATGTTCTTGAAGACTCAAGCGCTGGCACTAAAGATGGTATGGATGGAGAGGTTGTGGAGTTGCCTTTCCCACCATATGATTTTGAAGTACCGGTAAGTGATGGGATGTTGCATTTCACGACTGCAATGGCCAAATGGATACCCAATTCCTGAATCTGTGAAATATGTAGGTTCCTATATTCATAAGCTCATCCCACAGCTTCTAGAAAAATTAACCATTTTGATAGTTCCATGTTTCTTCATACCTAATGGCAGCTTCCTTTCAGTCAAATTTATGTGTAAGGTGTCCGCATAATCAAAGAACGCTGTATATCAACTCTTTGGAGGACTAAAAAAGATTTTTTTTTTTTTTTTTGAATGTGTCATTGAAAGAGAGAGCGTGAAGGGGTGCATTTACTTTTCAATACTCTAACCTCCCATGCTGTAGCTTTTGAGGTTCATAATGCTCGCAAAAATTTTGCCTGTTCAATGCAGGCTGAATATCTGGATAAAATTCGACATCTCGAAGAGCAGATAACCTGTGACAGAAGAGGTCAACAGCACCAGTATTCTCAAGAAAATGATACGGAAAAGGCAGAAAAGAGACCTTGACATTCATAACGAAGTAACACATTCAGGCTATAATTTTGGACACCTCGTGTTTTTTGTTGGATCTAAAGTCTGGGAAAACTACCCAGATATTGTGGAGGCACTTTTGCAGAACCTGAAATGTGATGATGTTGATTACACATTCAGGCTGTAATGTGATGGCTCTCATAAGTTGGTGATATGTACTAAATTCTTAGAAGGATCTTTCTTGTAGCTCAGAGGTGAACGTTTAAGTTTATAATACCTAGTACCCAATCTTACTATTAATCATTAGAACGAGATTGACATTGGCACAATGTTATTAGGAAAATGGAAGAAACAGCATTCCTATTCCTTTCTTCAAGTTGTAAGGTACTACTGGTGACCGTGGAGTCTATCAGTGTCGAGAAAAATTGGCATATTTGGCTTGGAAAAGGCAGGAATTGTTAATATAAACCGTGTTCCAATCAAAACTGATTGACATTAACTATAATTAACATCAACAGTTATTACAAAAAGAAGAAAAAAAAAACATAAAACAATTTTAGTTCTGTTTTACTATCTCAGTCCTCGGGGCATTCCACCAAGTTCTTTTATGCAGTTGTCTTCTACATAATGAAGCAGAAAGCGGGGGTGTGAGCATACTAAACTCCATATATATATATATATATATATATATAAAGCTAATAGGAAGAAAAGTAGGGGAAATTAAAATCATGTTGTTAATTAAAAAAAATACCCTGAAAGACCCGTACGTCTACAAGGATTTAAAACCCTAAAAGACTACAAATAGCTAAAATTATCAGAATCCTTTTCGGATTGGGAAAACAGATCACATCAGTGTTTCCCATACATACATGGAGAACTCCTCCCACACTCTTTTTATTCAACAAAGGTACATACCTCACATCAACAAAGAAAAAGCTATTCTCCGATCTCCAAAAACAAACCCCCAGTAAGCAAAACCATGAGTACCATCACATTGATTTCTTCTGATAAGAAGCTCTTCAAGGTGGAAGAAGCTGTGGCCAAGGAGATAACTTTGGTCAAAAACTTTGTTTATGACCTTACTGCTGACTCTTCCGTGCCCCTCCCTAATGTATCCTCGCAGGAACTTTCAAAGATCATTGCTTACCTTCAGAAATTCTTGGAACTTAAGGGCAAGCAAGATTCTGATGATGTTATCAAAGCCTATAGTGAGGAATTTGTGAAGGAGCAAAGTAGTCAAGAACTGATGCAGCTGATGAAGGCTATTGCTTGCTTGGAGGATATAAATTTGCTTTAATAAAGCTCTTCGTGGCTGAACATATTCAAAAGAAGGGTGTGTGGAAGAAAAACTTGACGCCAAGTTAAGCAGGAGGAAGAAACTTTTCGCATTGAGCTCTTCGTTTTTTATTTCTTGTTTTTTATAATTAGGGTTTGTTAGGTTTAGGATATATATATATATATATATATATATATTTGTTTCTTATCATTTTGACTATAATACAACACGAGCAACTGTGAATGTCAAAAGTAGAGGAATTGGCACCAATGCCTGTAAGATAATCGGCAAAGATTTTCTTTGATTTAGGTGAATGTCAATTTGAAGAGGCTATCTGATGCAGACTGTACAAGTTTTCCAGATGATTACAGGAAAACAAAAAATTTGGCTTCTCAATTTTCCAGGTGAATTCAGATCATCCACTGAAGCAGATCAGTACTGTTTCATTGCTAATGCCATTACTCAGGAAGATCTTGGTATTACACTGTCATGCACCAATTCTTTGATAACTTGACCTCCTACAATTCTATTATTAAATCCATTATTCCATACCAGAATTAAGCATATTAAAGTGGATTAATTTCCACTTAACCTGTTAGAGATCAAGTTCATAAGAAGTTATACAAGGGAAACATTTATCAACTGAAGTATATAATTGCTGTTGCCTTTGAGAACATAGGTTCTGGTTCCTCTGTCACAAGCTTAGATAAAAGTCATAAGAGTTGCATGAATTGAGATTAATTAGATAACTAGCAATGCTTATTATCCAGTGCAGCAAGTTCAATATCTCCGATTCGGTTTACCACATCGCTGATTCTTGGCCTTTCCAGGAGTTGGTCACAGGTGCATTCGAGAGCAAGCAGTGTAAAATCTCTCAATTCCTTTGCTTTCTCTGTTGTAAGTGGTCTACCAACCACAATTATGGGGTCAAGCATGATCTCTTTAAGCCTCTCACTCATTACGCATTCCTTCACATGATCCACTAAATAGTATCCCTTGCTAGACTTTTCAATCGGAGTAGAATCACATACTTCTTTTCCGGTCAGAAGTGCAAGGATCAGTAGACCAGTGCTATAAACATCACTCTTCTGACCATGACCTTTGTGGGATATAATTTTTGATGATGAGAAGTCAGTCAGCACCAGAACATTGTGTTCGTCTAGCAAGATACTTGAGGGTTTAAGACCGCCATGAACAACGAGTCGAGGGAGTTGAAGGCGGAAGTACGCAATCGAGCAACCTAAATGAAATGCGATATTCACCTATGTTTCCAGGTAAGAGATTCAAAACCTGGTGTTCTATTGCTCATGCGATCACCAAGAGTTCCACTGGACTTGAAGGATTCAAAAACCAGTATAGGAATTTCAGTGTCCAGGCATACTCCTACCAACTTGAGTGCACTGTGGCCATTCATTTGTTTGGAAATTATAATATCCAGAACAGAAGATTCAAGCCCATTTTTTACTGTGAACGTTTTGACAATTACTTGCTGGCCTTGCAGAAAACCCTTACAATCTAAAGTTTCCATCATCCAGAAAAACTTGCTTTGAGTCGTAGTTATTTGTTGCCTCTTTGAGTTCTTCCTTGGAGAATAAGAAGCAGCTTGGATCACTACTTCTGCCGCCAAGCAAATGGGTTGTCTTCTCCATCAATCTTCTTTTGTTTCTCTCAAGCACAGCCTCATCTTCTGGTTTACGATCCTTCATGGACTTAAAACATGGAAACATCTTGCCTATTCACCGAATGAAAAGTCCATGATTCACAGGAGAAAACATCGAAGTTAAGGAAATCTCCATCCATGTCCACTTACTCTTAATTGTTTACACGTGTAAGAATCTTGATTTTTAGCTTTAAATCATAATTAATTAAGAGTTATTTTTCATAAATAATTTATACCAAGAATAAATAAAAATTATTTAGGTTAGAAATATGTTTAGTAAAAATAACTTAAATTAACACCCCGCCTGTTCTTTTTCTTTTTTCTTTTTTTGAAGACGAAGAAGAAGAAATGTAGTATAGAGTATAAATTCAAGATTTTGATTAAAATAAAGTTTTAACTAACTCAACTTTATACCAAAGTTTTAATTCAAGAAGATAGTAATATTTCGCTTTAATAAACAATTAAAAAATAAATGGCCTCAAGTAAATAATCCTACATCAGAATGTAATTAATTAATAATCTCATGCCTAAAATTAATCCTAAAAAGGCGTGTCACATACCATATACTAAATATTAGTGCACTGCTCTCTCTATTACGAGAATAATACATGTTATGGTAATTAATAACCATGCAAACTCAGTTTATTATTATTAATGGTATTAATTATCTAGCATAGATCATGTAACCCATGATAATCTAAGGCTTACCAAATTAGTCATCGCTATTAATTACTAATTGCCTTTGGAGACGAGATTCTAAGCTTCTGAATATATGGTGACCGATTTTGGTCGGCCTCAGCTCATGAAATCTGGGTTTACACGAGGCACTTGAACATGCCTGTGGTGATCAAATGGGTCTTCTTATCCTTCCAAAAGCTATGATTTTGATGCTACAGGCCTCATGTACGGACCATTTTGGAACACGGTAGTCCTCAAAACTTACTATATTAAAAATAATTTTTAAAAAATTAAAAAAATATATTATTTTAATACATTCCTAAATAAAAATACACAGCCATGACATGAGATTTGATACTCTTACATGAGATTTGATACTCTTACGCAAGAGCTAATACCTTTTATAACGAGGCAGGACAATGCTCAGATGAAATCTGCATTCTCACAAGATTAGTGACTCTAATTTTGAGGACTTTCTTGAATGTTTGTCCCTTTCGTCTTCCTCAATTTATTCTTTGGGATGTGAGTAAATATTATATCCTAATAAGGCAATGGAGATAACACAACCTGAAGAGAGGAGTTTTTTTTTTTTTTTTTTTAACTTCGAAAGGCGGTTTCTTCGTGGTTACACACAGTAATAATGTCTTTTATTGTGTTTTTATTAGGCATCCATAAAAGGTATCTCTTCTACGCTCGATTGTTGCTCGTTTTGTGCGTAAAGGCAACAAACAGACATCCTGAAGGCATCCCCCCGAAAGAGGGCACAAGGAGCAAGAAAACTTGGACACACATAACTAGTCCCCTGGTATTTCCTTGCAGCATTTATAGCGTGAATGCTTGTCTTCCATCCTTTATAAGTTCTAGCTATGAACAAACCTGGACAAGGTATCTCTAATGGCTAAGTATTCAACGGCGTAAAAGGTATCCAAGCATGATACTGATGAACGCAGTCATAAGAACAAATAGAAGCGGGAATCCCACGTACACTCTTTTTACGCTTGTCCGGCTTCTCAATACATCCTGCCGATGAAAGGTGGGAATCCATCATAAAGTAAATTTCATATAGGATCGGAGACAGCTCAAAAGATTGCATATTTGTATTAGATAGAGAAGCCTATTTTGTGAACTTACTAGTTCTTCTAGCAAGATTTTCTGTTCTTGATTGCCTTGTCTCTTCTCCTCTGTTAACTTCGAAATAGTAGCCTCGGCCTGCACAGGAGCATCAAGTGGCCCTATTAGACGTTGTATTCAAGTCAATTATTATGAATGTCCAGAACCACAAATCAGAATCAGGCGGTCCCAGTAAGATTTTCGCCCTTTTTTCACAAGATAATTGTGGCCACCTATCCTTCAAAATGCCGAAATAAAGAACGGGACCCACTGCCACAATGGTTTTCAAAAGGCAGTGCAATTTCATGTCTCTTAAAACAAGAAATAAAGGACAAAAAAAAAAAGAGAGATATCCAGAAGTCACGCGCTTGATGTACAGCAAAAAATCACATCACATGTGTGTCTAGTCAGAGCCAGAGAATAGTGTATTGCTGGGTCATAAATATGTTGAATTATTATCATTTTATGCAGAGCCGCAGTATCTTGAGCAGGAAGATTGTGAGAAAGACTAACCTCGTTTAGCTTTAATTCAAGTACATGCAATTTTGACTTCATCTCCTCAATATCACGGGCCAACTTCAGCTCCTGCACAGCATTCACTGTTATGACTTCCTCATTCTTCAGAGAAGGGGACTCCATATCATCCGCTAGCTTAGAGTGCTCAATGCTACTGGCATCCTTGTCTTGCTTCAACTCTTCGTCCTGTTCCAGCTTCAACTCCTTCTCAACGACAACATCTATATTTGGTAGCCAAACCTTCTCATTTGACAGCTCAGACTCTTGATGAATCCCATCCTTGTTCGGCTTCAACTCTTGATCATGAATACCATCCTTCTTTGGCTTTAGCTCTTGATCATTAGCTGTATTGAGTTTCAACTCTTGATCATGAATACCATCCTTTGGCTTTAGCTCTTGATCACGAATCCCATCCTTGTTTGGCTTCAACTCTACATCATTAGCTGTATTGAATTCATGGCCATTGGTCATTTTGAATTCTGAACTCTTGGCAATCTGATGCTAATACGGAGAAGAATCAGAAAAACTCAGGAAAAAAACGGAAGAATACACCAAACTGAATTCATGGACATTAATGTTCAATCCTACAAAACTAAGTAATGCCAATATTATCAATTCAGAAGGAACTTTCTAACCGTTTGTGGTGGAGTGAGAATTTCATCTCTATTCTGCACATGATCGTTCAGCACAGAAGGTTCAAAAAAAGGCCCCTGCTTAAGCACTCCATTAATTGGTGATAGTACGGGTGATTCAGGTGGGCTGATGAAAGCCACTCTCATCTTGACCTCTTCGACATGGTTGCCATTATCTTTAGCAAACTGGCAATAAAACAAACAATAATCATACGAACCAAACTAGAGATTCAAAGTAAAATGTAAAACTCCATCCCACTTACCATGCTAGGTGTGATGTCCTTCTCAGTTGCTCCAATAGGAACAATTGTGCTTAGGATTAAGAACTTGTCTTTGCACACCATATCATGAGGAGCCACCTTTTGAGCTTGCATTGTGACTGCATAGCATTTAACACCAAAGCTAAGGGGATTAGAAAGACTATAACTTAAGAAAATAACATCTGCTTAAAAACTACATGCTGCAGAAAGAGCTAGGAGCACATGATATATAGAATGAAATTAAAGGGGGACAACAGTGAAACAGCAATGATAAGTGCAAACTATAATAAAAAAACAGCTTCATTACCCTCTTTTCACAAGTTTCACAACTCAAGCATCATACAAGTTGAATTACCGCCCTTTATCTTATAGTTTCTAAGCCAAATTACCTTCCAATCTCATTTTTAAAATCGACAGTTCAATCAAGACAGGAGAAGTTGTGTGCAAAGATGCAAATTCATAGGAAGAATCAATGTCCCATAAACCAGATCAAAACTAAAATTCATCCAATAACAATGTCCATTTGAATTGAGGATAAATTAGCAGAAAAACAGAACACAAAACAGCAGAGGTCGGATGATAACCACAGAGTCTTAAAAGCAGCCAGTCCAAAGTCCATGCTACTTGAACCTTCAACTCAAGAACACTCAATGTATTATAGAGCCTAGCATGCGAGCATGCATGCAAACACATGCTTTCAGTATTTCACAAGGATGTCGTTTCAATTAGCTAGATAAAAATAGAAACGCTTACCAATGAATTCAAAAGTTGATTTTGGATCGACAATGCCAACATTTGGTCTCACACAGTACTTCTTAGGTGAAGTTGTTTTAACCTGCCAATGACAAGCTCAAATGATATTACCCTCCAGCATTACATCTCTCGAAACACAGATGCAGAGTCTCAAACAAAATCAAGCAAAATACAATTCAAACCTTGAAAGCAACATTGTGGTAGGTGTTATTGGTAAGCTGTATCGAGCAAGAGCTTTGCTTCTTCACTTCAACTACAGAAAACATTATCGCATGCCATAAGCTTAAAGTTCAATCAAACCAAGCCAGCTATTACATGTATAATTTCCACTTTCACATAAGCAATTCCCAGAGCCACGCTTAAATTCTTTTAATTAAAAAAAGAAAACCCCAAAATGATTATTTCCTTGTTTCCAGTCCTGAAAAACAAAGTCCAGCAGAGATGGTTTTTATATCTTCGAAAGCATCGGAGGTAAACCTTTTTCTCCATCGATGAGCAAAATCCACAACAGAGAAGGTAATAAATAAGGATGCAATTACAAATTCATAAACCATTTTATTATCCTTCACCAACTTTATTCTCATCCACCAAAGAAAGCATAAAATATCTTTAACAGTCAACAAGAAAGGAAACTCAAATATGAAAATAAGTATAAAACCATACATCACTGTTCCAAGAATAAGAAATAATACAAAATGGGGCCATGTATGTATTAATAGTATTAATGATTATTACTCACAAATAAATTTGAGTTCCTTGGGCAGGATTTCCAAAAGCTGTGTCATGATTTCTTCCTTACTTTTTGTTTTTCCTATCAAAATCGAAAAGCAAACCTCATAGGATCCAAAGCCCTGTGGCTCCTCTTTCTCTGCATTATACCCAAAGAAAAAGTAAGTATTCATACAGATCAAACCCAACCCGCATGCCAAAAGTCCCCAATTTATACACCTACACTATTATTTAAATATAATATGTAGTTTTTTATGCTCAATATCCATTTTCTGATTCATTTTCACATGATCAAAAATAAATAAATAAATAAATTATAGCAGTGTCATATAATCATGGCATGAACCACCCCTGTTTTAATCAAATACTAAACAACAATATAAATCAACGGATTGTTCAATCACCAATTTAAAAACAAAACAAAAGTAAATAGCAATAAATTTAAAAAAAATCACAAAAATCTCAGTCAGTAGAATCAGTACCGATTCCAATAGACTCTTTTGTTTTCCTTTTTTTTTAATTATTAACGCAGATCGCAATCAAAATCATTACACACACAGGGTTGACTCGGATTGAAATCGACTCGAGTCGTAGTTGACTCGGTTTGAAATCGACTCAGAAACACAACAGCGTATTGAATCGGAGAGACGTACAGTGTAGAAACGGAGAGCTTAAACTGAAAACAGAGCCCAAATCAACTACTGAGAAAATCAAAGCGAGTCAAGAGGAACGACTCCGTTTAGATTCTCTAAATAGCGTGTAACAGCAAAAAAACCGTTTAGATTCTCTAAATAGCGTGTAACTGCAACAAAAAAAGACAAAAAAAAGATAAAACCGAAACGTGTTCTTCTCCGATGGAGTGAAAACAAACAGAGTCGAGGACACTCGCAAACTGAAACGAGTCAAAACGACACTGGACACAGCATAAAACGATAGAGGGAGGGTGGAAAAGGAGGGGTGAGGTGAAAGTGAATTTATAAGAAAGAGAGAGGGGAGGGAAAGGAAAGAGAGTTAGTGAATTGCGTGTCAGTAACGTTTATTTATTTATTTTTAATTTGATTTGATTTTTATTTCGTTGTAGTAATGATTTTTCAAGAAAAAAACAGAGAAATTTCCACACCTTCTTCGCAGAGACAGAGAGAGAGAGAGATGAACCCTAGAAATTCTTTTGAGACAGGGAGAGAGGGAAAGGAGTGTGTATTTGGTTAGGTGATCTAAAATGGAGTAGAGTAGAGTAGAGTAGAGAAGAGAAGAGAAGAGTTCTGCTGCTGCTAGAGTAGAGTAGAGTAGAGAAGAGAAGAGTTCTGCTGCTGTTGCTGCTGTTGTGTTGCAGATTATTAATATTGGGAGTGAAAGCTAAGTTTTTGCGTTGGAACGAACAGTGGGGGAGAGAGAGAGAGCGTTGGTGGTGGAGTTGGTTGTGTTAAAGTAGTATAACCGTCTCTGTGCTGCAGATACGTAGGTACGTGTAGGAGGAGGAGGAGGAGGAGAGGGTCATTGGGTTGGGTTGGTGGGTTTGGCGCTGATAGACTGATAGCGGTTGTACCGGCCGTTTCCTCTTTCCTTTTGCCTTTTTCTTTTTTAAGCCATGGGAATGGCTGGTGCAGGTCAGGGAGTTCGTGTTTTCGTGTTCAGATTTAAATATTTTTTTTTTGGCCTGTTTTTATGAGTTGCTATTATTGGGATAAAAAAAACTTAATTTTATTTATTTACGTCTTCATTTACTAAAAAGCTATTAAAACTTATTTTATTTGTATATAAACAAATATAATAATATTGGATATGAAAAATAAAATAAGAAAATTATTCTCTTCAAGATGAAAAAAAAACCTGTAAAAGCAGGAAAATAAAAATAAAAAAATAATTTTATAAAATATTTATTTTATAAAATCATTGAGTCATGATACACGTTTTTATTAATAATGATCTTAGTACGTCAAGGGCACAGAACATTTATTGAAAAAGTAACCTATTTGAATACCATTTTTATCATGACCATTTATTGTCTAGTAATTTATTTATAGTGATATTTTAAATAATTATTTATATAAAAATATATGTTGTCATGACCATTTATTGTCTAGTAATTTATCTATAGTGATATTTTAAATAATTGTTTATATAAAAATATATGTTGATAATAATTTTTATTTTTTAAAAATTATTTTTAATATCAAAATATTAAAATAATTTAAAAACACCAAAAACATATTAATTAAAAAAATTATATTTTTTTAAAAATACTTTTAAAATACATAAACAAATCTTTTGGGTTTGAAATTGTGTTTTTACGTGTTTTAAAAAACATGTTTGGCTTTTAAAAAAACATCTAATTGATTTTTTTATGTTTTTCAATATTTTTGATGTACCAGTATCTATAATTAAAAATTAAAAAATATTTTTAAGTAAAAAAAACACTTTTTAAAAATATTCAATATTATAATATCAAATAAAATAAAAAAAATTCCTTCGCAGGGAAGAAACTCCAGAAAAGGAAATGGGTTTTCATCTTTTGTGCTCTTTATATATTCCTAAATGGAATCCAGCCAGCATTCGAGCCTTGTTGACATGTTCTTGTCACAATACGCATCCACTCCATGATAATTGCTTGCTTTCCATCTCCATGCAGCGAATACGAACTTTTAAATTAAAATGCTGAGCGTCTGCCCCACTGAGTTCAACATTCTTGATAAGCTCTGGAACTCGGTATCCCGCGCGGGATTTTAACGATGCTTCCAATCTTCTCTCCTTTATATCTGCAGGTGTTCTTTATAAGCATGGTAAAGTCAATCTCCTTTTCTTTTCACGCAGTGGTGCTGCCCTTACTTTCTTCCTCTAAAGCTGCTTTTGGGAGAGAGATTTTCTGCATCAAAAGAATTTATTAAATTGTTCTACATCTATCAGAGACAGTGTTTGAGATGTGTTCTTGATGTGTTCAAGCTAGAGACTTGATCTTCATTGATGTTTAAACTAAATTAAGGATATTTCTTGCTTTCAATTAAGAAAAAAATAATAATTATAGTCGTGTAAAGTTTAAAAAAAAAAACAATCGAAGCACGTTTTTAGATACTTTGATATATAAATCCCAGATGCACCTCAATTAAGTATTTATATTGCTTGAGGGATTTGTTGCATAAGAGTATGTTTTACATTACGTTTTAAATTTTTTTATTTAAAATAAAAAATTATATTTTTAAATCATTTTGGTGCTTACAAATAATTTTAAAAATAAAAAAATAATTTTAATTTATTTTTAAATAAAAAATACTTTAAACCAAACCTCAAGCAGATTAGAAGCATAAAAAATACTAATTTGGGTTATTTATATAGTTAAGTCAACCTAAATCTATTAATTAAGTCGCGGGTCAACTATTGAGTCACTTAAATATAGGTTATGTCAATATATTGGAGAATCTTATATTAATTCTCATCATCATTTTTTATTCTTCTACAGGAATATTAAGAAGCAGTGAACTACACAGTGAAATAACCTTTCTTCAAGATTTAAATAAAGAATTAATTACCTTTAATCTTATTCTAATGGTCAAAAGCAAAAGAAAGAGAGGGAAGGGGAATTCCTCTGCAGTACTTGACTCCGCATTGATTCAAAATTAGAGAATCTATTGTTCTTGACGAAGAACGTGCGGGCACCCATTTACTATTAGTATTATTATGATTATTATTATTATTATTATTATTATTATATGAGAGAGAGAGAGGCATTCATTAACATTAGGTTCCACGTGAGGGGAGGCGGTGATTGCAATCACAGTTTGTACTTGTAATCTCTCGTTTTTGGATGTATCTTAGAGTTTATTATTGTTTTTTAAAAAATATTAATATTAATATTTTTTATTTTTAAAAATTATTTTTATATTAGTACATTAAAATATTTTAAAAATATTTTTAAAGCACAACAACAAAAAACCTTGCAAATATGATTTTACATTTTTTATCATCATTTTTGTTTGACTTTAATGTTTTCTTAATGTGTGTTTGCAATGTTGTATTTTTTAAAAGTATTTTTAAAAAAAAACATTAAAAAATATTAATTTAATATTTTTTCTCAAACTAAATATATTTTTTAAGCGCATTGAAATGCAGTTTAATTCAAACATAAAAATAAATGGTGCAACTAGTAAATAATCTACAAATAAAAGTACAAAATGGTTAAATGGAAATGACTAATCTCTTGTTGGAACCAAATCTATAGTTAATTGGAATTGAATTCAAGAGATAAATTGTTTTTGTAGTGAATTATACAAATTTAAATTTAATAAAATTGAATTATGGATCTAAATTGTACCCTTGACCAATGAGTCCAGATCTCTTCTTTTGTAAATTAAAAAATTACTTTCCTCGTATTAACCTTCATTGAAATATAGATTTCCTGTCTTTTATACATATTTCTATCTTAATTAGACAGAATTTTCAATTCTTTATATTCGTCCACATAAATCCATTTGAAGCAGGCGTCCACATAACTCCAATAAAGTTCCTCTTAACTTTATCATAATAAATTAAAATAAGATATTTTAAATATATCAGACAAAGTTATCAAAATAATATTAGAAAATGAAAAGCATACAGTATATACCCAACAAAGTTATCAAAGCTATTTATTTCTTAAATGGCAGGATCCGTGAGGCGTGTATTTGATGCTGGAATAGATTTTACGATTATAGGTTAAAAAAATAAATGTTAAAAATATTATTTTTAGTAAAAATACATTTTTTGTTACAATTTATGAAATTAATTTAGAGTAAAATTATTTTAATAATTTAGATAACTGGCTAGATAATATAATAATTTAGAGTCGAGATCTAATTTTATTATAAATTTCCACCTAGTTAAATTTAAATAATTTGATAGGTTGACTCTAAATAAAAATTAATTACAATGGTTCAAAAATAAATAAAAATAATTGACTCAAACAATAATATAGCCATTTATATCTAGAGAGGTATTTAAAAGTATAGTAGCAATTATTTTTTAAAATATTTTTATTTAAAAATATATTAAAATAATTTTTTATTATTTAAAGATTATTTTTTTATATTAAAAGATAAAAAGCATATAAAAACATAAAAAAAAAAGGTATTTTCAAGTAATTCAAAAAATTAATTTTTTGAATTTGTAAGTAGTTGAGCGATTGCTTTTACAGTTAAGGGATTCTATCGCACTCCTTCTAATTGTCCAATCAATGGCAATTAAAGGGCTAAATTAATTTTTTGAATTTGTAAGTAGTTGAGCGATTGCTTTTACAGTTAAGGGATTCTATCGCACTCCTTCTAATTGTCCAATCAATGGCAATTAAAGTGTTAATAATTATATAGATATGTACATGAAGGTCCAAATCCAACGGTTAAACATGCCTAGATAACTGTGTGGGAAATGGAAGCCTGAAAACGAAATAAAACCAACTGGGTAGGTGGGAACTTGAGAGGAGGCATCACGAATTTAAGAACTGGGCCATATTCTTATCAAAGAAGATCAAACTTCACGAAAACTCCTTCTCGAGCCTTCTTCAACCGCCGGTCCGATCTGGACCACTGTCCTCCACACAAGTGGTTGGCGAGCTGCTCGGAGGCAATGGTCAAAGGCATGCATGGAAGCAATATACCACTCAACCTGTGATCCTCCTTGGATGCAGTGCAAACTGATCATCATGACAGAGAGAACTCATCATTTATAGTAAATCATATGCTTACAATGAGGTGAATCTCAACTTATAGGATATCCATGCAAGATCTGCAGATGAACATGTT